GTCAAGGAAGAGCGGCAATATCGTGTCCGCCGCGAGCGCAGAAAGCATTTGAGGAATCGAAGGAGAGCTTGGCAGGTCGCGCTCTTGCGACACCCCAGGTTAGACGTAGAGCTCGCCCTGTTTACTGGACGCGTCGGAGCAGAGCATCGCGCGACTTTGCATAGCGAGGCAGCGACGGATGGGAGCCTTACCTTCTTCTCGAAGAAGCTAATCCCAGCCGAAGAGAAAGTACAGCGCGTTCGACAGAGACTGCTGCTATCTACCTGGCGGTCAAGCACTTCAGATACATCTGGAGGCGCGCCGCGTTTGTGATTTACACGGATCACAAACTACTGATCTACGCCTTTCGACAAAGACCGGAGAAAGCACCCGCGCCAGTTCCCCGCCACTTGGACTTATCGGACAGTTTTTCCAGTCACCCATTCGGCACGTGACAGACGAGAGAACATCGTGGCGGATGCATTGTCTTGATCGAGAGCTGAATTCTCCTCGGACTACGCTGCACTGGCGGAGTCCGCAGAGAACAGACAAGGAGCTGGACGACTACACCAGGCGAGAGACCGAATGAGGCTCGAGAAGGTGCAGATTCCCGGAACGGGAATCAAAGTATACGTGACACGACGACAACCGATACCGCGGTCGTTCTTGACAAGACCCTTTCGGCGGGCCGCATTTAACCTGGTGCAACAACCGGACACCCAGGAATCAAAGCGACGGGCAGACTCGTGGCGCAGCGCTACGTCTGGCCGTCGATGAACGTTTGACTGCCGCAGCTGGCACGTGCATGCGTGCCCTGTCAACGATCGAAGATCTCTCGTCACGTCTCGGCGTCCTTGGGAAATTTGCTGTTCCATCCAGCAGGTTGATCACGTCCACCTGGGACATAATTGTGATGCCGGTCTCGGAGGGCATGCGATATTGCCTCACGTCGTGGACCGCTTCACACGGTGGCCGATGCGTTCGCACTTCGAGATCAGGAGGCGGAGGACGGTCGCAAGGGCATTCTAGAAGGATGGATCTGCCGATTCGGGCGCCCGTGCGGATAACAACGGACCAGGGTCGCCAGTTCGAGTCCCATCTTTTTCGGCGGCTGAGCGAGCTGAACAGGAGTGCAGCAGCTGAGGACGTCGGCGTACCACACCCGCAGGCAAACGGAATGGTCGAGCGGTTCCATCGCCAGCTCAAAGCGGCCATCAAATGTCAGCAGAAAGAATTCGCTGGACAGAGGTACTGCCAACGGTGCTGCTCGGGATCCGAGCAGCGTGGAGAGACGACCTGCAGGCGACCGCAGCGGAGCTGGTGTACGGCCAGACTCTGAGGATCCCGGGGCAATTTCTGGGCCGACAGCCTACGGACAACGAGGACGACGCTGCCGACTTTGCAAGGACGCTGCGTGAGCAATTTGAGAAGCTGCGACCGGTGGACGTACCCGACACGGGGAGCGACGGCCATTTATCTAAAAGGACCTGGCGACGCCGAACAGGTGTTCGTGCGACGCGAGGGGCCCAAAAAAGATGCTGCAGGCGCCGTACGAGGGGCCGTACGCAGTGGTCAGCCGAGGCGACAAGTCTTTGTTCGTGCGTATGCACGGCAGGAGAAAACTGTCTCAATAGACAGGTCTAAAACCCGCTTATATTTTACAGTCCGAAACAGAAGATAGCAGCTCGGCAGAGTCGGCACACGGAGCCGAGAGGGTGCGGTCGACGGACGGACGGCGCGAGACCAGGACAACCGAGGTCCGAGCGGCGAGGCGCACGAGAGACGCGAGGCCGCTGCCCCAGATAGCAAGAGAACGACGCGAGCGGGGAGAAGGGTCCGATTCCCGAGTCGATTCCAGGCGGGCCTGTGACGCCGAGGAACCAGGATGCGCAGTATGCGAAGCCGTGAGAAATCGCCGCAAAAATAAAATTTAAAAAAATAAGACATATTTCTCGCGAATTTCAATTTTCTTTGATTTTTGTTCTCGTTGAAAAATTTTTTAGCATGATCGACACAAGCCGCGGAACGCAACGAAAAAAACGAATTCGACACACAGCAGAAACCTTGTATATCTATTCCGCGTTTTATTTTGCAAAATTAAATTGACGAGTCTCAGACCGAGAGCGACGTGCGTTAGGATAGCATTTTATTATTATATCAATTGTTATTTATTATTATTGTATTATTGTTGCGTCATATTTATTCTTGTTTTTTGCGCTTCGAATGCATCATAACGACGAGCAAATTTAACATTCGTCTCGGTCTGCCATCGAAGAAATTATCGCGGAAACAGCGCAATATTCGGGCGATATCGTGCTATCGGTATAGCACTGGCAGGAGAGTAGTGTGGCGATTACATCATCACATACTTCCCTGAAATTACAAGGAAAAACACGCATACGAATACGACACTCACACATACGAAAAGGACAAAGACACAAATAAACATAAATAAAATATAACAGACAAACGAAAGACGAGTAGTACAGAAACAAAGCAAGTAAACATATAGAAAATTCGCGAAGCCTCTCGAAGCCTACGAAGGGCGTTTTGAGGCAAGAGATAGGAAAATCATTTTTATATGCGAGAGATTCCGTCTTGACAGTCGCCGCGTACGGACGCACATTATAAATCCGAACGATCTTATATTCATGTACCGATTTTAAAAGACTGTGTTCCTCGAAGAATATATTATCAGTTAATTACAATTAATGCCCTCTCACGTTATTTAATTCCCGACTCTTATCGTATTTCCAACGTAACGCGCGAGATAACTAAAAAGGTTTACATATTCAAATGTGTACTCGGGTAATTCTTAGTCGTACTTACAGAATCGTGTTTTGTTTTAGGTATGAATTTTGAAAGAATTAGTGTTTCTTTTTTAAGTTATCATATAAATTTGATGTGATTAGGATTCTGTAAATCCGACTAAAGAATAGGTTGTTTAAGAATTAATAATACATCGCGTTGTATTGTAATTTACTTAGGGGGAGTGGTTTAACATTTTTAGTCCTTATCTCTTGTGCCAATTATATTAATATTATCATTCTATTATTTATTATTTAACGTTATTGTAATAGATGCATCAATAAGTGTTTCTGTAAAGAAATATCTGGTTAGTTTCGCTAGTTACATGCTGTCTCTGGGGTCCCTAGATGGTGCCTGATTGGTCGCGTGGTTAGGACTAGATAGAGATGTTTGGTTTCTAGGTAGAAGACTCCAGATCTGGCGATTTTAGCTATTAATACTAAAAATAGTTAAATTAGAGCAATTAATAGGATATAATGATTGTTAATAGTCTTATTCTATGAGAATATGAATAGCGCGCAATAGTTATATTGAAAAATAAAAATTTAACATAGACGGGACGTCACAATCGATAAGCGCTCCTGTAAGGAATATCTGGTTAGTTCCGCTAGTTACATGCTGTCTCTGGGGTTCCCTAGATGGTGCCTGATTGATCGCATGTAAAGTCACTAGATTTAGTCGCGTGGTTAGGACTAGATAGAGATGTTTGGTTTCTAGGTAGAGGACCCCAGATCTGGCGATTTTAGCTATTAATACTAAAATAGTCAGATTAGAGCAATTAGTAAATATAATTGTTGAAATTTTACTCAGAGAGAGAGACAGAGCATGTGAAGCACACACTTATATTTTGTTATAGAAGAGAAATAATACATCTAATTAGTTTTACATATGTGAATGCTTTAACAAGATAAACATTAAATGTATAATACTTTCTATATGTATAAGACTGCTTTCTATAAGACTGCTGCGCACGAAAAGGCGATCGGTCCAGTGAGAGAAACGGCTAAATCATTCTGAACCCAAAAAAGATATATATATAGTATAAGGTATCATAACACACACGTTCGACCTTATACCTGCGCGCTCTACATGAAAATATTAACATCTCATACCGCTTAATTTGAATTGAGATTATTCTTTCTAACAATAATGATTGTTAATAGTCTTATTTCTACGAGAATATGAATAGCGCGCAATAATTATACTGAAAAAATAAAAATTCGAAAATAGACAGGCCGTCACAACGTGCAGACTCAAAGATCTCGCCGACAAAGATGTTGCCGAATACCGACCATCGAATCTGATATCTCTGTTTGGCAACGACGCGACAGCGGCTCGATCTTTGTTTTATGGAACGGCTATTTTGAATGGTAAATTAATAAACCAACGACTATGGCTGTGATTACAATGTTTTGAAACATTTTATAATATTTTCAATCTTCATAGAATATACAAAGATAGAAATAATTCGTAGCATTTATATAGTATACCGCAGTATTAACTGCAGTCTACATCGCGCAACAAGCAATGTTAAATTCTATTAAAAATTGAATATTAAAGATCAGAAATTAAAAATAAGAAAGATTTAATTAAGAACAAAAATATAACATAAATTATAACTTTTGTAATTATTTTCTTCGTTTTTTTATATCTTTTTCCCTTGTCTGCCGGCAGAACAATAATCTTACTATTTTGTTTGAGACTACAAAGTGCTAGTCGTTCTTTCCTGCTTATATTTTGACTGGGAAGTTTGGCTTTGTGAAGAACGTTAGTAATTCGATTTCTAATATCGTTGCTTGTTTCAGCGGGAAGGTGGAAGATAGCTGTTTCAACTTGGCTGATAATTTCTTCCAAGTCTTGACCAAGAATGGGTACAACACCAAAGACATCCATCGAACAACTGAAAGGCTGAAAAATAAAATCTCCAGTTCTACAAATATGAGTGCATCAAGTAAAAAAGAAGAAGAAGATAAACAAGATAAAAAATGGACAATCCTTCCGTATCTTCAGGGTACAACAGAACGCATTAGCAGGATTCTGGGTAAACACAATATCAAAGTAATTTCCAAACCTCAAAATAAGATTGCGCAACTACTTCCTAATCCCAAGGACCGGAGACCACACTTAGAAACACCAGGTGTATACAGGATTCCTTGCTCCTGCGGAAAAGTGTACATAGGCGAAACTGGGAGAAAGATCAGTACACGAATTAAGGAACACCAACGGAGTTCCAGGTACTGCCATTTTAGTCAATCAGCCTTGGCAGAACATTGGATGGTGACGGGACACTCAGTACAATACGACAAAGCAACCAGACTAGCCCCCTCGCAAAGCTATTTCGCCAGAAAACATCCTGAAGCTCTAGAAATTCTGAAACATTCCGACAACCTCAACCGCGACAAAGGTTATCAAACAAACCCTATTTGGCACACTGCCCTTAATATACACACACACCACTAGGCGGCGTCATTACGGAATACTTTTCCGTAAATGAAAAACCTCTCATAATATATATAAGGACCACAACCCAAGAAAGTTCAATATCGGAGCTCTCAGCCCTGAAGATGCAAACTGCAACGTTTGCGAAACGTCGGCATTACGCTGTTAAACCACGCGGCATCCATCCGGAAATCTTTTGCATTGATAAGGCATTGTAATTTTGAAATTTGGCAGCGCGTCAAGTTTTTTTAACTAAAATTTTATTATTTTTATTTTATATTAATTTACTAGCTCATTATACAACCCTATATACATATGTTTGCAATTTTAATTTTCCACTGGTACAAGTTTCTCCTTTCACTGGGTGAAATTTTTTTTGATATCATTACTTTTGTAGTAAGATTCTGCATAGGTTTACAATGGATAATTTTTTAACAATTCTACATGAGTTTACAATGGTTTATTTTGCATAGAATTCTACATGGGTTAGCAATTATTAATTTTTCATAGAATTCTACATGGGTTTGTAATAATTAATTTTTATAGGAATCTACATGAGTTTGCAACTACTCATAGGGTCTACAAGAGTAATTTTTTGTTACTGGCATGCCGTTAACTGGGCGTCTCTTTTTACCTTTTTTTAAAGGTAAGTTTTTAGAAATTATATTATTCATTTTTGTAATATAATCAAACTAATCAACATTTGAAATATATTATTTAGTTTCTAAGAAAAAATTATTTGAAAACATTTAGGTTCTGTAAAAACATTTTTTAATTTGTTATATTCTAAAAAAATTGTGTATGCTTGTTTAATTTATTTTACTTCTAATAGATATCGAGAGTTAATGTTTTTTGGAACGTTATTACCAAATTAAATATGTCATAATTTCTACAACGTTTCTACAATGATAAATGGTAATAAATATAGATAAGAATCTTTTCTCGACCGTACTGGCAAATATTATTTATTCAATTACAACGTTTCGACCCTTCTTTGAGTCCTTATCAAGTGATCTAGATATACATAGACAGAGATTAATACAATAAAAAACAAAATTATTTCACTAACAATATTACAAAATGATAAAAAAAAGCGAAACATACTTGTAAAAATAAAAATAAAATTATAATTTTATATGTCAAAACAAATATAGTGTCGGTTTGACAACACGTCAAGACTCTTAGACGAGTTACTGGAGACTAAACGACCTTTATTATTTTGTCGTAGATATTACTTAGATTGTCGGTATCCTTTTGCAAATTAATAGCGTTATTATTTTTCTTAATAAAAAACATTTCAGCGATTTCTCTTTTTCTTACGTGTTTTTCACTTGCAAAATAACAGGCAAAGCTCAGTCAAAATCGTGATCGAATTCAATTATATGTTTGCTGATAACTGATAAATTACTTAAATGCATTTTGATGTTGCTGAAATGTTCCTTTACACGTGTACATATATGTCTCTTTGTTTGTTCAATGTATGACACGTTGCAATTATTACAATTAATTTTGTAAACTACTTCAGTTTTTTTATCTGTAGGCAGTCTATCCTTACCGAGTGTAATTAAAAAAATCATTCGGTTTTTTAGGAATATTATGAACAACATTAAATTCGATATTTTTAAAAATTCGATTGTATTTGAGAAAATATGATAGAAAGGATACGAGAAGCTTGCAGAAGGATAACGCACAATATGTTACTCAAGATAGTAAGTTATTTCCAAGATAGGTTGGCATTATGTATCCAAGCCAATGGAGACAACTTCGAACAATTGATTTGATAAATTTTTTTTGACTGGATCATTCTCGATTTTGCCTTCGGTGGCAGGATTCTTCTTGATCTAACTTTAGTTGACAGAACCATCAACGATCTTGCTTTGACTGGCTGGATCATGTTCGTATCTTGCCTTGACTGGCTGGATCGTGTCCAGATCTTGCCTTGACTTGCTGGATCCGTGTTCATATCTTGCCTTGACTGGCTGGATCGTGTTCGTATCTTGCCTTGACTAGCTGGATCGTGTCCGGATCTTACCTTGACTGGCTGGATCCGTGTTCGTATCTTGCCTTGACTGGCTGGATCGTGTTCGTATCTTGCCTTAACTGGCTAGATCGTGTTCGCATCTTGCCTTGACTGGCTGGATCGTGTTCGTATCTTGCCTTGACTGGCTGGATCATGTCCGGATCTTGCCTTAACTGGCTGGATCCGTGTTAGTATCTTGCCTTGACTGGCTGGATTGTGTTCGTATCTTGCCTTGACTGGCTGGTTCGTGTCCGGATCTTACCTTGACTGGCTGGATCCGTGTTCGTATCTTGCCTTGACTGGCTGGATCGTGTTAGTATCTTGCTTTTACTGGATGGATCGTGTTCGTATTTTGCCTTAACTGGCTGGATCGTGTTCGTATCTTGCCTTGACTGGCTGGATCGTGTTTGTATCTTGCTTTTACTGGATGGATCGTGTCCAGATCTTGCCTTGACTGATTGGATCCGTGTTCTTATCTTGCCTTGACTGGCTGGATCCGTGTTCGTATCTTGCCTTGACTGGCTAGATCGTGTTCGTATCTTGCCTTTACTGAATGGATCGTGTTCATATCTTGCCTTTACTAGATGGATCGTGTTCGTATCTTGTTTTGACTGGCTGAATCGTGTCCGGATCTTGTCTTGACTAGCTGGATTATGCTTGGACTTTGCCCTGATTGGTCGGAGCATGTAAAATAAGACTATCGGAAAATGAATATTTTAAGAAATATATATATATATATATATATATTTTGTATTTTTATCAAAATGTAGTAACTTTCGAGCTTTATAACTCGAAAAGTACGCAATGGAAAAACATTTGACTAAGTGTTTTGAAAAGCTTTCGAGGTCAGCTACAAGAATATGTAATAAAAAATAAAAATGCCATTTAAAAAAATTGAGGTGACCTTCGCGTGATCTTTAAATGAATATCCAAGGTCAAACCAATGGCACCATCTTATAGCCCCTTCGAAACCATACAACACATGTCTGAACCATTTTTCGATATTTCGCTTAATTTACGAGAAAATTGATCGTATTTTTTAAAATGGCCCACCCTGTATATATATATACAGGGTGTCCCATAATTCGCGAACCACCGCGAATGAGCAGATAGAACGTGTTAAACTGAATAGAAAAGTTCTGTATCATTTTGCAATATTCGAAATAATTATTGAGTTATTAACTAAAATATCTAAACGAATGAGCGGGTAGAAAGCGGTAGGCCGCGGACTCGGTGTACATGTACCGCTTAGTATCAAAAGTATCATCTTACTTTTCGGCGCCACTACATTGGTCGCCGCTCGCTGCATGACGCCGCCTCTCGATCAAATAATGCTTTCTATCTGCTTATTCGTTTAGATATTTTAATAAATAACTCAATAATTATTATGAATATCGCAAAATAATACAGGACTTTTCTGTTCAGTTTAACACGCTCTATCTGCCCATTCGCGGTGGTTCGCGAATTATAAGACACCCTGTATATATATATAATAATAAATAAATATATATCTTTTATTTCAATTCCAATTTAATTCTAGACGCAAAAAGATGATATCAATATTGTAAATACATATGTAATGACAATAAAACAAAAAAGATTTACGGATATATTCTTATGTTTACTAACCTGATTATATTTAAAGTTTGTTTAATGTGATATATTTAACTCGAAGAAATGGTATTTTACTTATTTTTTAAAATGGTATTTACTTATTTTGTGCAACCGGCGCGCAAAAAGTCGCCCTTTATATGCACATGATGGGATTTTAGAAAGGGCTCCTTTTCCACGCACCGGTCACAAAATATCGTAGCCAACATGTGCGGGTCATAAATCGGCCGATCGTGCGGATTGTCACACTCGGCTTCGCCTCGTGCTCCAAACTTCCACAGCCGATTTATCCCCCGAACTTGTTAGCTAATATACTATTCAATGCTTAAAAGCGACTGCAACGTGCTATATCAAGTTTATTCTGACACGAAATTCAATCAATACTTATATTTCTACCGCTTTATCAATATAAATAATGAAATAAATATTTTGATTCACATTTCCACGATTCTTCTTCTCCTGTCTCGGTGTACTCCGGATTGTTCGCCGGTACCATATCCATTTTTCCTGTAGAAGACCAACCTCTGCGTCCGGGAACTATATCCTCGTAAAAACACTTTGAAACATTCGCGTTACTTTTTTTTCGTCTGCTACTTGTGGCGACGCCCGGGTTTTAAGTAGCACATTTTCGACGCGTTTCGATACGCGAGAATATATGAACGCTTATTCACGCGGGAATAAAACCGATGTTCCGTTTTCACGTCACCACTTTTTTCAAGATCCTCTTATCGGAGGGCCTTGTCGAACGACGATGGCGTCCTCGCGACGCACTCAGAAGCCACTGATATTTTCGAATTTCACTATATTTTATATTTCAAAATTGTTTACTTCACTATATTTTATATTTCACTTATTCCAGAATTGACCACTACACTTCACTATATTTTATCTTTCACTGAACATTCGGCGAAGAAATCGCGAATATCGCGCACGAACATCGCCGATTATTTATCAACGCGTATTTCCACTACCGAAAAATTTTTAATTACATATTAAAAGGTTGAATGAGCTCCTGAAAGTAACGGCACTTTTGTTATTCTAAATGTATTACATACTTACTCAACAATTACAATACTTGCTTCTATCCGCTAATTGTAAAAATTTTAGCGCTTAAAAATGCGGCATTTTGTTTCTTTAATTTTACTATTAGATACAGAGAGCTAGAAAGATTGCTTTCATGTTTTTCGGAATAAATGATATAAATTTATAAATAATGCATAATTTATATGATTAATTGCACGAAATTTGAATATGTTTAATTAAGACAACTATTAAACACAAGTGCTGACATACACACAAATATATACATATATACAGGGTGTCCGATAACTAACGGACCAATGATTAAGGGCAGATTTCCTGGCCAAATTGGAGACGATTTTTCCTTAGCAAAAATGTTGAAAAGTCAATAATTTTCGAGTTATAAGCGATTGAAAAAATGGGTCTTTTGAAAATTAAACGTTTTGAAGTTAAACATAATTACATTCTTCAGGTAATTTTCGGATAAAGTTTACTACAATAAAATTTTAATTTGAGGCTTAGTTATAAAGATACATAATGACAAATATTGGAAAGTTGTAAAAAATGATGACCATTTTCGACATTTTTGCTGAGGAAAAATCGTTCCCAAATTGACCAAAGAATCCATTTGTAATCGTTGGTCCGTTAGTTACCGGACACCCTGTATATATATATATATATATATATATATATATATATATAACGACCTCAGAAGTTTTGTTGACCTAACATCATATTTATACGTATATAGAGAGACTCAGTCAGTCTTTTGTGGTCTGTCGAACTGTATCGTGGTAGATATAACGATTGTAACAAAGTGTGTGTGAACATTTTATATATTCTTCCAACATTGCATACTGCTAAAGCATTAATTTGTTGCCGTAAAATAAAAAAAATATATCAATATATTTTTGCATTTAACATTTTGTTCCGAAATATTGGGTAAGTCAAAATAAGTTAAACATATAAAAACATATTTGTCTACAAATATAAAAAGATTTAATTATACAGACTTTTAATCATGCAGTATAACGGAATTTTAAAGAATTTCCAACATTTAAACATAAAAAAAATATTTTTATTCAAAATTATCTTTAAATTTTAATACAGAGATAATTTCAAATAATATCATTATTATATTTTACGAATTGTAATGTTAAAATAATCTTGGACCACAAAAGTTTAATATCGAATAAATTATTTCTGAAATTTAAAATTACTACAATTTACATAAATATAATAAATATTATAACAGACACTTTTAATTATCTTTTCATTATTCGATTATTAAAATTCTGCTTTCTAAAATTTGTCGTCTTTTTTATTTTTTA